GGGGAGAAGGGGGGGGGTGCAGGGGAGTTGTCATTCATACCCTCCCCTACCACATCTGCATATCAGCCACTAAACATCGTGAGCCACTCACCGCCTGGACAAAGCAGCCCTGTGCCTCCTACCAGACCAATGCAAAGCTGACTCATTTAAAAACCAAACAAACAAAACCACCAAACAAATCAAAACCAATCAAACAAAAACCAAATTAGAGCCAGAGTATTAGGTTAGCAGAAAAGAGAAGTGATTTGAGAACTGGAGAGGTGTGAAAAGTAATAAGAAGAGTTTCTGTTGGTTCATCAGTTAACAAAAATAAGACTAAGGAAAATTGAGTTCACTGCTGAACGAGGAAAGCCTTTGCTCTCACTTTTGTTGAACTTCATAAGGTTCCCATCAGCCCATTTCTCCAGCCTGTCCTAGTCCCTGATATCTGAGATCAATACTGTTTAATGCCTTCAGTAATAACCAGAGTGACCAACTGAAGTGTATTCTCCAGATGGATAACACCAAATTGGTGGGTCACTCTGGTTATTACTGAAGGCATTAACCAGTATTGATCCCAGAGGGACACTGCTAGTCATTGCCTGCCAGCTGGACTTTGGACTCCTGGGTACTTGAGCAAATTTTCCTGCTCGTCTTAACTTCTATTTATACAGCCCATATCTTACCAATTTGGTGGTAAGAGGAGTATGGGAGAATGCAAAGGCTGTGCTAAAGTCAGGTCATACAACATCCACTGTTCTCCCCTTGTCCACAGCACCAGTCATATCCACATCATAGAAAGGAATCAGGTTGGTCAGAGGGCTGGAACATGACATATGAGGAAAGGCAGAGAGAGCTGTTGAGCCTTGAGAAAAGAAGGTTCAGAAAATATCTTATTGTTGTCTATAACTACCTGATCAAAGGATAACGAAAGACGTTCTCAGAGGTGCATGGCCATAGGACAAGAGGCAATGGCCACAAGTTGTAACAGGAAACTCCAATCATTATACAAGGAGAAGCTTTTCTAGTATGGGGGTGGTCCAAGCATTGCCCAGATTGGTTGCAGATCACCATTCTTAGAGATGTTCAAGAGTCCAATAGACATTTCCCTGAGCAATCTGATCTACTTAAATCTGCTTTGAGTAGGAGGCTGGATTAGATGACCTCCAAAGGTCCACTCCATCCTAAAGTATTGTACAGTTTTACAGCTTCAAATATGTTGGGGTTTTTTTCCTAAAAAAAACCTCCCAAACCAACAAAAACAAAACAAACCCCAAAAAAAACAAAACCCAATAAAAACCTCACAAGGACATGTGGTTATATTTTAAGTCAGCTTGATGACACCATAAAAATTCAGTAATTTTTTTGTGTAACTTCGCTGCTAAAGATTGTGAGATTTTAATTTTTCTATTTCATTATATTTACTTCTTCACTAAATAATGTGACAGATTGAAAAGACTGATATACTTTCATCCTGGATGCATGTATTTCAATAGTCCTACTCTTACATGTTTTGAAATAACTATGCAAAAAGGACACCATAAATTGAACTGAATACATTAAAATCTTTCTCTCTGTTTTTCCATCTTCAGTCTTCCTTCACCTTTGCATCTAAAACATCTGGCAGAAAAACTTATTTTATATCTGATTATTCTTCCCTTAAAAAAATCTCTTGCAAACAGATATCTAACAATAACATGATTTTAACTATCTAGTTTTAGATGGTGCAACATTATTTTTCAAGAAAGATGGGTAGCTGGCAAAGTTATGAAGGATAAAAAGAGGATTGCTACAAGAGTGGAAGAAAAAAGTAGCAAAAGAAATTGTAAAAGTTAGTAATAGTGGGTGGTAAGTTACTCTCTCCATTTCCATATGTTGTGAAGTACTTTACATATTTATGAATATTTTTGATTCTTCAAATGGTGCTGTTCTGGAAAGTTGAGGCTGCTATAATTGGGACAGAGCAATTTGTGTTAGTATATTTCCACTGTACTCACACAAACAAGCATGAATACTTAAACTCCATTACAAACCTCAAGCATCTTCACAAACAGAAACGGTACAAATACACATCTGTGCTTGGTTAGCCTACATATAACTTTAAATTTACACTTAATTAAATTTAATTCAAACTATTGCATGGGAAATATATTTCTATTCTGTGTTATTTTTTCAAGAAAAATATATCAAGATAAATTATTAAGAAAAATTTGACATATTACAGGACTAAGAAGTTATTTTATTCTATAGGAATAAATTAGTGTCTTATGGATGTCTTGATTTAGTTTCTCTACACTGAATATTCAGAACCAGCAAGTCTTCCATTACTAAATTTATAATTAAATAGCTTCTCACTAATATGCCTTAGAATGACACCTTACTTTAATTATGAGCTATACAAACACAGTTGTGTGTTCTTGATCACCTGAAGGTTTGAAGATGTTAACATGCATCTAGACTCTTCCTCTATTAATCACAATCTGTAGGCAACAGAGATCTCAAAAAAACAAGAAAAAAAAAAGTATTTCTCTTGCTTTCCCCCCTCCAGCAACCTCCGACATGTTTTCTGCCTTGAGCTTTGCCTTGGGCAAAAATAAAGTTAAGTGGTCTGATATAAACAGTAAATGCCAACCCTCTACTCAATTCTTTTCCATTTTACAAATTGGAACTATATGCATGTTCTTCCGCCCTTCTTCTAACACAGCTAAGTCACGACCAAGAAAAAAGAAAGAAGAACACAGCACAGCACATGTACGAGAATAAAACTAATTACTACTTTTTGGCCCCCCAAAAATCCTAGCAACCCAGTACAATAACAATGCAGTTTTCAAAAGCTGTATATAAGCCACTTCAGAACAGAAAGTAAACCTGGCTCGAAGATTTATGAAAGATGTATTAAAACCAGATTGCAAGAGGACAGTACAAACTGTCAGAACATTTCTCAAAAGAAAGCCATAGCATTAATAAATTCTACATTTATTAACAGTAATTATATTTACTATCCCATTTCAAAAAAACCCAAGCAGCAATCCATAAATGTTGAATGTACAGAGATCAACACTGCATTTTTGCATTAATCTTCTGCTTAGGTTATGGTCTTATCACGATTATTTAAATTCAAGAGCAATACTTGGTTGACAAGGTGCTGCAGGCTACAATCCTCACACAATGCCTAAAGGGTTATTACAGTGGAGAAATTCTATTGAGGACAATGAAAGAGCCTTACCCCTTCCCGGAGACACCTCATTAGCACAGTGTAAGCAGTCAAGGGAACAACCCAGCATTCTCTGGGGTGCTCCTTTTTTTCCTCCTGAAATGAAGCCAATGGCACGAATGATTAAATCAAAAAATCACAATAATCTCACTCACATAAAAAATGAGTAACAGATTCTTAATAAGGTCTATATTATACAAATTTCAAATTAACATATGCTAGAAAATATATTAAATTCCAGAGTAGTATTACTATTTAATGTTATTTCATGTGCAGCACAGAAATTGATATTTTATTAACTTATTTAAATAGCCTCCAAAATCCATAACAGAATTTGTCCTAATATTTCTCAGTTTCATCAATTCCTTCTAATTCACACACACATAAAAAATATTCTTGCATTCCTCTCTATCTTTGATTACTACAGAAAGAGACAACTGATTATTAAAAGTAGTAATGCTTCTCTTTAAATGTGATTTCATTATACCAAAGAAACAAAATTACTTTTGTCTGACAACTAAACAAACCATGTAAACTTACTTGGGAAAAAAACATTCGAAGTCATACAGGGAGATGCAAAGTCTTTAATAAAACTTACTGTATGGAAGAGCCTCCAGTACATATTAACACTGTTCCAAGATCTTTATGTACATTTCCTTGAAATCACCCTGTTAGAGAGGCTAATTCACTGCTAGTTGAATCAGAGGTTTGATTCATCCATTAAAAGTTAATGAACTCCACTGCCCACTCCCAGTAGCCTACTGTAAAACTTCAAGTTTAAAAGAGGGCACTTGTATATCATTAAGATTTAACAAAACAATCTCCATATCTAGGCTAGTAACACAGAGGTATTAGCAAGTGAAAAAAAAAAAAAAAAAAAAGCCTCTTTTGGGAAAGAGAGAAATAATAGGCATTGGATGATATGAAGATGATGTATCATGAAATCACTGTGTAGCTTCTCTTAATAAGGAGACAAAGGGTGATAAGCAACAATTCCTTCAGAAATTATACATTTATTGAACTCTTTTGATTATATTAGTAAATTATATTTATCATTTGAATTAATTGTTTACAACAAAAAGCATAGGATGGGCAAGGTGAGGGTTAACAATGCAGAAGCAAATCATTCTTTCTGAATGGCCTACACTAATTTAACATACATGACCTGGTAATGTTAAGCATTTAATTAAAGCATGGCACATTAGCAGTAAAGACTATTACCGAATTGTCTACTAAAATTCACAGAATCAGAGAATATTAGCGATTGGAAGGGACCTCAAAA